CATTGAGACAATGTAATGTTGTGATAATGCGCTATATAAATAAAATTGAATTGAAAATAAGGATTTTTGAAACAGTAAAGTTAAGGGTCGGCAAATAATATCCCTCATCTCTTTTAACACTATAGGTAAGATGCCATCAGGGTAGGGCTGGGCAAAAATTCATATCTCGGTATTTTTAGGAGGAATGACGGTATACAATATATATCCGGTATTTTTCCATAAATGGTTACTTGAGAGTCAAAGCCTTTATTAAACCTTTATTAAACAGTTTTTGAGCAAAATATAATTCAAAGTTCAAACACAGGGGTTTTCCTCCATGTTTACAAATAAACAGCTGCACAACAAATAAACAGCTGCACAAAATCTTTGATAAATAAAATACAGTACAGGTTGTTTCTCCTGCTTAACAGTATAAGCTGCACAACTTATTTAAAATTATGAAAAAAAATCTTTGATAAATAAAATACAGTACAGGTGTTTCTCCTGCTTAAAACTATAAGCTGCACAACATTTCAAATTATGAAAAAATCTTTGATAAATAAATACATGTAGTACAGGTTTTTTTTCTGCTTCACACTATACACAGCTCTACTGTGCTACTGTGCAAATAACAAAGTAAACAGAACCATAGAAAACATAGCTACATTGTCATAGCAAAAAAGAAACAAACGTAAATAGTAACACAACAAAAAGTATTGTAGGATTTACCTCCTACAGGTTTTGTGCAAGAAAAACTAGCATATCAACAGTTTCAGGTTTAAGGGAGGCCCTATGGCAAGTTACAATGTTACCACTGCAACTAAAAACCCTTTCGGAAGGTGAACTGGTGGCTGGTACTAAAAGATATTTCTTTGCCAAGTGGCTCAGTGCTGGAAAGAGTGTTTCATGCTCTTTCCACCATTTAAGAGGATCAGTGTCACTCTCTACATTAGGTGACTGCAAGTAGCTGGAAAGTTCTTTTTCAGTTACCTCCCTCCTTGTCAGTTCAGTGCTTATTGTGTTTGCTGTGCCTGTGCATTGCTTGAAGAAGCTTGCCAGCGATTTCTTCTTCTTTGCTGTTGGCGGCATTATTTCTGCTTGGTCTGTAGGCACAAGCACAGTGTGCTCAGCTGTGTCAGGCTGACGGCTGCCCTGATCGGCCAGGAGAGATTCCACTTCTACGACAGCTTGGTTTTTCACTGCATTGACCTTTTCACTTGGTATGTATTTGTCTCTGAACCGTGGGTCCACAAGTGAGGCCATGTCCAACAGGTCACTAGTTGCTGGCTCAGCATACTTGGCATTGCGGTAATCAACAATGCAGGTTTTGATTAACTTGCATAGCTCACTGTCATCATCTTCATGTGCCAGGAGACTTGTGTTGAAAAGGTGCAGTACAGGTCTGACATTTGAGATGGTGACATACTCCTCACCCGAGAGCGCATCTGTGAAGTCTTGAAGGGGTTTCAGAGCCATTTGGATTGCCTCCAGGACCTCGATATCCTGCTATGTAGGAACGAGATGCCTGGACTTTTTATCCTCAGACAGAACTTTTGTAATTGTTTGCCCCTGCTCCAGGAACCGCTCAATCATTTGCTGTCGTGATCCCCAGTGTGTGGCTGACTCGGTGATGAGCTGGTGAGCTGGCAGACCGAGCTGAATCTGAACTTCACCAAGTTCTCTTCTTTTTCGCCAGCTATAGGAGAAGCTGCTGACCACTTTCTTACACAGAGAAATGGCCCGAGTGATGCGGCTGTCATCCATGCCATGCCCTGTCGGAAGTAAAATCAAGTTTATTATGCATAATAAATACATCAAAGGACGTTAATTCTGGTTACAGTACCATCCTATACTAGCAAAAGAAAATGGAAAAACAAAAAAAAATTATAAAATAGAAAAGAACCATATTGAATGTAAATATGAAACACACAGTATTTTATGTCACAATTACAGTGTTGTTATAAGTAATCCTGTATATCACAGTTGTGTGATTTATAAACAACAATTAAATCAGCTGTATATGTTTTTTTAGTTACACATTTACATGTACATATTGTGCACAATTATTAAACAGTGCACATATCAAAGATATCTAAATATCAGTCCCTCACTCCATGTAAAAAATCCTACACTTTTTGTTTTGTTTTTACTAAACTTGTTTTAGTAAATATTTAAATAAGGAGATGAAAACGAATAGACTATAGATATGAGAAGTAACGAAATTGTTTCAGAGTACTGTGATGAAATGCTGGTTAAGCATATAAATGTAGTCATTACTGCAAACAATCATTTTACTAGCATAACAATCATTTACTACTAGCACTTAGCGTATGGTTCACAGGTTCAAATAAACCTTGGTTGTAGTCACCAATGGCCAGGTGAAGTCGGTGACCGAAGCACTGCATCCTCTGCCATTTCTTTAGTTCCACCGCCTTGATTACGTTGCTGCCATTGTCGGTTGTTATAGCAACCAGTCCCTTTTCGTCAAGCTTCCAGTTTAAAAGCGCATCATGCAGAGCTTCAGCTATATGCTCCCCTGTGTGGTCTTGGGGGAAATAGCTGGTTTGAAGACACGCAGTTTTCATTTCCCAATCTTCAATAAAATGAATTGTAAGACTCATGTATGGCTCGCATGTCCTGCTTGACCATGGCACATCTGCACCTTACCTTGTCTGCACCTATGGCACTTTATTTATTACATGGTACATGCATATTTACTTCTGTATATAGATGTATATAAATTCATTTTTCCTCTTTTCATACTTATCCTCTGTTAGTACTTACAGTATATACTTATCCTACACTGTAAAAAAAATCCCGTAGTTTTTACGGAAAAAAACTGGCAGCTGGGGTTACCAGAATAATTCCGTAAAATATACAACAAAACAGTAATTGCTTTTACCGAATAACATGTAAATTTTACAGTATAAACCAGTAAATATAACAGAAGTCCAGTGTGTTATATGCTGGTTTAAACTGTAAAATGTACATGTTATTAGAACTACACCAGGCACCCAAAGAGCACCGAAACACTTACATACAAGAAACCCGAGGTTGTCAGACGCTCAACTGTAAGACGCATACACGGTGGGAGATTTACGGACGCTAATTA